TATGCGTGAGAAATGGATAAGTTGTGCGCTATTACAATTGCGGTTTTGCACCGTGACACGCGTATCGACGAGTATATTAACAATGCAGCTTCCACGTGTCGTCTCGCCGTCACGTTAATTAATATCCAGTGCGCGTGATGAAAATGCAAATCGCGCACAACTCAGGTGAAGGTCTTCCAATCTCGTATGCGATTATCTAAGTAACGCATCACGTGGACGTCGTTTCTTCGCAAAAGAAAAAAAAATGTGCAGATTTGTCGGCAGGAATATCATTGGACATTTATGCAAAAAATGCTGTTCTTCATTTCAATTTCTAATCGGAGTGACTTTATGCGAAACGTCACGTTTCTCCTTGTCGAAACTACGCCGAGAAACCATTGTCTTCCGTCGAGAAAAAAAATACGCTATCAGAGAAAGATGCGCGATTAATCACGCGCGCAACGATCTTTCTTCTTCCGCTCTTGCGAACGCTCTTGCTGCCAAATTCTTATGGCGTTGCTTTTCTCAGGCAAATTGGCAAGATTGGATTCACTTCGACTGTGTTACATCGTGATCCCTGCGAATTTCAATTACACTATTGAGTTCTTTTCTCCTTCGTTCGTTTTTCTCTTACGGCTACGCATTAGAAAAGCCCCTAATTACATCATGATTCCTTCGACTTGGCAATCGAGTTTGCCAACATTTAATCTTCTGTGCTCTTTGGATACCTCGTGTGGTATAATAATTTCCAAATCTGAATGCAATCTAAGATAATCTACGTTCTGGAAAGCGAAGGTTTTATTACGTCTATTTCTCTTACTTTATAATCACAGTCTAAGTTTCAGAGAAACATAGATTCTTCGTATGTTTAACGGATTTTGTTTTGTGTTATTTATAAATATCTTTTATATTTATATTTATTTACAAGGAAAACACAATTAGAAAATCAGTTTTGAACTCAAAACATTTTTACAAGTAGTTTAGAATAGTTTCAATTAACTTTAGTAAAATTTTAATAAAAAATTAATAAAATTATTCAAAATCAGATTACAACAATGTGTTGAAAACAATTCATTTAAAAATCAGCGAAAACAAAAATTTATCCGTGAGATGTGAATTACGATACTCGCAATCACAGTAATATTTCGAGAATAAAGACTTTTTTATAAGATTGTGACTTAATTGCGAACAACTTTATTAATTTTTTATAGAAAAACGAAGCGCCATGAATTCACTATTGTTTAATAGGAGGCTATTAACTAGATAGAGCCATTTTGAGCTACTTGTAAAAATTTTCTGAATCCAAAATTGATTTTCTAATTCGCGCAACCTCTCAGAAAAGACTCCATCAGAAATTCTTTTCGAAGGGAAAATTCCTTTCTTTCTTGAAGGGAAAATTCTTTTCCTTTTCGGAAAATTCCTTTTAGGAAAATTCTTTAAAATTCGCTTTTCTTAGCTTTTTTTATTTTGATACATGACCACGATGGTGAAAGCACATCTCGATGGATGAGAAGGCATTATGAGCCGATCGATTGGTATTGGACTAATACACGGGGATAGAAAGAGAAACGATAGAGATGGAAAGAGAAACGAATGTTCGCACTGTCCCTGGCTCGTTTCAGCGCTGTAAACAACAGTGTTGCGCGGGCAGGAGAGAATGTAACGGTCCCCAGGGATTGAGCAATCGTTTCCGTCGAGCCTGTTCGTTTATGGTGTATCTTGCGTTATGCCGATGGGAACGTAAAATCCTTGGAACGTTATAGCCGTTACAAACTTCCGTCCGGACAATTTCGGCGGGACATGCCGCTCAATTGGATCAAACGTCGCGCTCGTTTTTATACGACGCATCTCGGGAAACGTTGCGCATATTTTGCTCGCTCGTCGACGCGTGAATTTATTTTACCCTCAGCGATTTCGGCGAAATTTCGTATCTCGCGGCGTCTCGTCCCGACACGTGGAACATCCGCCGTCGCGATCCGCCCCGAAATCTCGAACGTTAATTCGTTTTGAACCTTCGAACATCTGGCTCTTTTTTTTTCTTGTTTTTTAACAAATTTGTTTATCTGGAGATCTGATATTTTTTACTCACGACGGATAACTTGTTTTTCGATCTCTTTTTTTCTTTTTGTTCGTTTTATTTATTTTTGTACCTTTCGGCTGGTTTTCATTTCCAGTCCTCTGATGTCGATGCCATGTCGGCGCGCGTCGAAACACGGAGGCGATCTGTTCTCTAATAACGCCCGCTGGACGCGTCCGTCAGACGCACATGTCGGTCGTTCCCGGTAACAGAATGCCTTGTACCATCGTCGGCGGCGCTAATTCAGTCGTGTGTATTAGAGCACATGAATAGAGATGATCATTTGATGAGACGCACACGCGCGAGATGATATCTCCATTATTCCGCGATAATGGATGGTGGAACAGGGAAAGGTCGCCGCCGGTCTGTCGCGGATTCCTGGCCGAGGGAAAAACAGCGCGAGTCTCTCTAACGTCGCAATAATAACGGCTCACGTGGATACGCGTGCGATTTCGTTCGAGAAATTGGCTCGGATCGCGAGGAACGCGCGCAGACGGTGATTCGACGTGATTTTCTTACGCCTCGTCATCAAAAATTTTCCTTTGTACCCTTTTTCCCTCCCCCCGATTGCTCTTCATCCTTGCCCCTTTTCACGTCTCGCTCTCGAGGGAGGACCATCGGGTTTCTGTTTGAAGTGCAGACTGCAATTTTTATCGCGACGTTAGCTCGGGTTCCAGCTGACCTGCCTCTATTTCGTTCGTGGCTTTCAACGTGATTGAAACGACGTTGTGAACAGGAGACAAGATGTGAAATAAAATTCACGGAGCACACGGGTGGCACAAAATATTCACAATTTTGAAATAAAAAATTCCTCTCTAGTGAAATAAAAAACGAAAAAAAAATGTAGAATTTTTTTAAAAAATTTCCTCGGGTAAAAGTCTCGCGTTATACGGTGCTCGCAATGTCACTGCGTAATTACGGATAATGTTGGATAATGGAGGATATTGTAATCGAGACTGATGGCAACTTCTTGGAGGGCACTCGAGATGAAACCTGGAGGCGAGGAGATCGTTATAATCAATGTCGCGTCACGTGGGCGTGTGCTATCGCGTGTGTCGCAACGAGAGAACGATTAAGGCACGCGCGTGCAAAACGGGACCTCGGCGAGACCCACGTGCGACTCGCTGGTTTATTTCCTCGCTGGAGAGCACCCGTTCATTGTTCACGGCGACGCCGCCGCTTCTGCGTCGCGCTCGTCGAGCGGGTCCCGGGAAAGGGGGAGGACGGGCTTTGTGTGTTTACACGGGCGCACCATCGCCATCGGGTTCGAGAGCGCGAGCGGCCGTGGAATCGGGTGCATTCACGGAACGCGGTCTTGTGGATAACAAAGCTCTCGAAACCTGCCCCCGCAGGTGGGAGCGGAGCAATGCGCTCCGATATACTGAAATGTAGCCTGCAACCACTCGCCACAAGACCAGGCCGCTCACCATAATTCGTCACCATAACGCGTCGCACGTCGCGCGCGTTTGGCACGAAATCAATTTACGAAAAAATTTTTCGGAAAATCTGTCCGAGTCTTTTCGGAGCGACGAGGCGGCAATCGCGGTCGTGGTATTTAAGGCTACGAACGCTATTTCTGAAAAGTTATATATTTAATATATCGATACGATAAAATTTCTTGCACACGCTTGAACACTTTGATGACAGCGGCTGCCACTTTGATTTTTCACGGCTGACAAAATTCTACGCGGGAGGATATTAAATTAATGACGTTTTTATATTCCGCGGTAGCGTTGAAAAGCGCTACCGCGTGCGATTCACGTACGCGAGCAAGTCGTTGAATAATTTAATCAGGACGGATTTTATTGCTGCACAGCGCGGCACAGATTTTACGCGGTGATAAAGGTGTAGCTCGTAAGTGTATAACATACCACGGAAATCGCAACAATGTGCGATACCGTAAACGTGAGATTTGAGAAATGTTTAGACACCTTTAGGTCGAACGAGATATCTCGACGATTTTTCTTGATTCTCTCGCGGCGAGAGATCAGTTTGCTCGTATCACATATTACGTCATTAGGACGCATCGCGATTCAGCAATATCCGTTTTCATCATTCACTTCGTTCTATCGTCGTTGTCAAAAGATCCGCTTTTCATCATTTTACACGCGTACAATGTTTGGCTCGTAGAGAAAAATAATAACTTTAAAACGCTGTTTAGATAAGCACTTTCTAATGCACGCATCGAAAGTTTTGCTCTTACACAAGCGATAAGCGAGCCAGCAACCTCCGCCAGTTTAAACGTTCCCGTTAATGGTATACGTATGTATATGCGTGTGTATGTGTGTATGTGTGTTGGGAGAGTCTCTATTGCAATCCCCATTCTTTTTAAGCGTCTTGTATTCAGATACGAGACATCGTGACATATATCACAGTTATGCGTGGTAAATGAAATTCTGTGCCTAAGATGTGATCTGATGCCGGTGCGGATATACACGTGGATTTTTTTTCTAGATTAACTCGTAAAGTTTTCATATAAAATTCCAAATGTTTTTCTCTTTATCTACGTTCATGCAGACTCAAAAGGTTAGCGTGAAAGAATAATGTTTGAAGCCGCGTGGTTTACCAATTCGCGTTTCAGCTACGCGAGCTCCGTCGCGTAAACGCAAAGAGGAAATGAGAGAGAAAAAAAACACAGGCGGAAAAATGATATGTTTTAGCATTGTCGCCGGAGCGTTTGTGCTCCGCGTCGGTTAGATAGCCGCGCGCTGGCTGTAACGGTTACACAGCGGCCCGGCATAGTTTACATCTTCTCTTACCTCTATTTCAATTTTCCAAGTGCATCGTTACGCTGATTACCGCGTCGTTTCTCGTGTCTGTCGATGGACAACCCGTGATTTGCCTCTCCCCGTCGCACGAAGAGACGCACGCGGCTCGGCATGACGCGGCGAGATAAAGAAAGAGAGAACGACGATTTTCCTTAACATTTTTATCTCACACACAGAATAGAAAGCAAACACGAGGTGACAATCCTAGGGGGACTAAATGAATTCTCCGTTAAGTTCTACGGTCCACGAGGGAGTGAGTATCATCTTTTCACGTTACGTTATAAAGCAAAGAGATGCGTGCAACATGGAACTAAATTCTATTTCCTTATTCTATTTTTCTTCCTTATTCTATTTTTTTTTAGGTTTAACTTGAAATAATCGTTTGAATCTAATTTTACCGTTCCGTATTGCACCGCATGATCGTATGTTTGCGATAAGTCCGCCTCCTGGTAATTAGTTTGTAACTTTGACGTGTTTGTCGTGTGTTTATCGGCGTTATAATATATTCCTCGCAATTATATAATAATTCGACTGAGTTACATGAACATTAAAAACCATTTTGCTGATATTCGATTTCATTGTTCGGCCAATTTTACACAATTTCTTTCAAACAAAATAAAAGAATTCTGATTCGATAACAACAATTCAGTGCAATTATAATTTTTATCATTGCAATTTTATGTGACATTGAAGCAATGCACTGTTCGATGGACGTCCTTCGAGTTGTGCCACGCTCAATTTCATAGTTTCTTACGTATCACCTTGGGGACTGTTATTATTATTATTATCATGCCGGAATTAAAGTACATGAAAGTTTATATTAAAGTACATATAAAGAGATACATAATCTAAATAACTATCTTTACGTTATAAATTGGTAATTTGACGAAACTTTACGATGCGTTTGGCAGCATGTAATTTGTTCAATCCGCGCACTTCTACCTTGCCAATTAACCGCCGCAATTTATCACGCGCGAGAAGCTCGAAAGTTTTATTACTTGCCGCCGCAAAATGGAACACAATTAAAATACGCGAATGGCGAGCGTTCAATACGTTTTCACTTCGCGATGTGCCAAGGTCCGTGCGCATCTCCCAGAACCGGAAACACTTGCGCAATCGCTTCGTACTTGAGATTTTCTCGGTTTGCCGGACATGCGTGCGAAGCGTGTTATCGATTGGCACAGCCGACTCTCGCGCGCGAAAGAAAGTTCCTTGACTCTTCGCACGACGAAAGAGATGCATTCAACTGTCCCTAAGAAACACTTTCAAGCAGATCGTGCCAAAGATACGGCACGTTGATGACGCGTCTATCCGCTTTGCCGCAGATAACGCACAGGTTGCAGACTGTTTTGTAGGCAGAACTCGGAAAAGATTATCTCGAATGTATTTAAAGATGTATTACACCTGTTTTTTATTTATAATAAAAAAATTATAGATTAGTTTAGATCGTATTTAAAAGTAATACAAAAAATTTTGCGGCGGTTTAAATTCTGGATTAAAGATTATTTGACTATAAAATAGAAATGTGCTTTAGTAGAACTGTAAAGAAATAATGACAAAAATCTCAATTTTTTTAACATATATATTTCAAATATTCAAAATAATTTATGTAATGTTTCATTGTGATGCAGAGATGTTATGTAAATAACAATTAAATTTTTATTAAGGGTACAAACGAAATGAGTGATGGCACAAATAAAATTAAATTTTTATTTACAGAACAAGTAATCTGCATCTGCATCGCAATGAAATTTTACAAATAATTTTGAATACTTAAAGTATTTATATAAAAAAATTGAGATTTTTGTCATTAGTTTTTAATTATATTTTTGTTAGAACACACTTCTGTGTATTTATTTAAATAACTTTTGATCCAAGTTCTAAACCGCCGCTAAACCTTTTTGTATTATTTTAAAATGTGATTCAGAATAATTTGTTTTTCATAATTTTTTCAGTATGTTTTTGTAAATACAAAAATTGTAAAAATATGTGTGATCATCCTTAAATGAAATTCAAGTATTTCGGTTATAAGAAGCAATCTGTGAAACTGACTCTTTTCGATTTAAATCGTGATCGTGATGCAGCCAAAATGGAAAAATGTAATGATTAATCTTAAGCAGAATGGGATTGTTCGTGAACGTGGATTTTGCGATGTTGAACCAAACGGATTTACAGAGTCGGCACTCTGTCAATTTACCATGTTTCGCTTTGGCGAGTCGAATGAAATTCTATAACCGCGTAATGAGTTTCGCTTTTCCGCGCGGAGGAGGAAAGCGAGTCGTTCGAGGACGAAAGTTTCTTGAATCTCCGAATCGCGATTCTCCCGGTAAACGAATTGAAATCGTGCGACTACCTTTTGTTCGTAACGCTTTAAATTAGATCACGTTTCAGATAGGTCCTTTGAAACAGCGCAGCTGCATTCGCGAGTATAGCTTCATTTGCTTAAGACCAGATCTCTTGCTCTTTTCGACGAGATAGGCTATACTTGCAGTTGGAACATTCCACATGGTAATCTCGGTCTGGATTACTCGAGCAAATTGTAGAAACGCGACCGAATCCAATGGCACTTTTGTTACTATTACATACCAAGAGAATATTTGCAAAAGACGCCCGAAAAAGATTATAAGAGCATCACGCTTATAATTAGAGAAAGTTGATCAATTACCATTATAATTATAATTATTATTAATTAACATTATTAATTAATATTATTAATTAACATTATAATTATTATTAGAAAAATGTTTCTTTCAATGTTCATCTAGAAGGACTCTTATTTCTTTTCGAGAAATGAAAAAAATATATATGGAGAACCAAATAAGATGAGAAACATTAATCCTCTCTGACGATTGACGTCTACTATTGAGCGAAGTTCACAAATTGTAAAGCTTGTAATTGATTAAAAGAAGCTTACTTGGCAATTCGTCGAGATCGGCTGTCCTCGGCGTGAACACGACGATAATACCAACTATCCGATTATTTCGCCTTTCGTGATCGATCGCAGCGCGCAATTGCATAACGCGCATCAAGTATGCCTTTTTTTTCCTATGCACACACGTACGGCTTCGTTTGTCCAGCTCGCCTTTGTCGATGAGTTAGCATCATCGAGCTAACCCCCGGAACGATGTAAATCAGATCGCGTTTCAGATAACCTCGGCAAACGATGCAGCCGCGCGAACGTGAGTTCGTTTACACACGTTTATTATCCAATCGCATGATGGATAAAAACACGATCTATCCACAGAAGCCATATCGTCAATCGCATAAAATTTTTAGTTGCAAGAAAATAAAAAAAAGTGGCAGTTTCCTAAAAAAGTCTTTCGAGCGACTATTGGATGGTCGCGTTGTAACATCGCAAAATTTCAAGATTTTGTATTATGAACAATCCCATTACATCGCATTTGCGCGAGAAATAGAAATAAATCGGTCTCAGATTTTTCCGCGTGTTTTTCAAAATGTTTGCAGCTAGTATTTAGAAAAAAAAAAAAACGAAAAGCTCTCTTTTTATTACAAGGAAAGCTTATATAAGCTCGCGCTAATGAAAGAACTTTTTTAACTACTCTCGTAACGTTTTAAAACAAATCGTGCTGCAGCTAATTATTTTCAATTACATTAGCTTTTCTGTGAAATTATTTCAACTCTAACAACATTTTGGTGTTAACTACAATGTATACCTTTATAACCTTTAAATTATATAAATAAATAAGTCTCTTATATGCTATCATATAGCAAATTCAAATGCCAAATTCAAGTTACATATGTAAAGTGAGAAAACGGGCTGATGTGAATGATCATTTTGCTCGTTCAATTATGTTAAATCAATACGAAGCATTCTCTGAATTTTGTATAAACGGACATAGAACATTAATCCCTTAACTTCGAAATCGCAGACTAACATCAATTTCATGTTAAATCGATAACTTATTAATACGTTTAAAGGCAACGTCGAAGTTTAATTACCTTATCCGTTATTAATTATGTCGTAATTATTAACGTACATATGTTATATCGACACGTGTTACTCTGTCTATATATTTGATGTAACTATTTATGGTATACTCTTCATTTCGTAATTCGTTACATAATCCATCGGCATTACTCCGCACGAGTTAGCGAGCACGAGTCCCTGCGACTTTATTAATTGCTAGTGAGATAATTATCAAGTTTCGATTGTGTCGCTCCGATGGACTGGCGTTCGAATTAAATCCCAATTGCATATCGGATATTCAACGCTCTGCTCGCACGAGCGTGGAAAATGGATTCGCGAACAACAAGGCTTTTCGATGTAAGAATCTCTCGATCGCGGTCGAAGTTGCACGGCACAAGTTACAAGCGATTCACCGAGAGCCACGTATTGGTTTTCTTGCTGAATAATCGAAACTTAGCGAGTGCGAGCACGTCGGAGAATAGTCTAACTGGTCGAGTGGCTTACGTGTTATCGACACAGAACAATGCTACATCGTTCGATAAAAAGTGAATTTCTTAGGAGAAAAAGAATAATTTTATCTCTTTCCGTGCGACACGTGCATTTCAGTGCTATTCTCATGCAATTCAGAGATAGGGATCTGTTTTATACGTTTAAAAGTGATGTTATTTACGTGATGAATGAATGGATGATAATGAACGGCGGGGGGGGGGAGGGTGTAGAAAACTGCAGAAAATCATATCGACTCCAATTGACGTCAGGTCGCGAGATAAAAATATAGATTTCACGTGCAACGCGTCCACTTTCGCGAATAATGCGATGAAAATGCAAATTTCCTTTGGACATATGTAATGTGCGTAATCTATTTTGAACCGACGTAATATATCGCCAATTACACCGGCTCGATCTAAATATCGGTGTTACAAATTACTTTAATAAGAAGAGATCCGGTCTGCGGTATCTAATTATCTAAATATATGCTGATTGAGTTACGACGTGTATATCTATAATTGCGTATATCTGTACGCGTCCGTTGAGTAATACACGCTTTAAATGTGTCGGATGAGCAGTCTTGTTTGCCTGAATGTGTTTTATTGGCTTTGCATATTTAGCCAACGGAGATATTTGCCTTATATCACATCAACATGGAGAGTTGCATAACGCAACTCTTTATAGATAATCGCTACTCGCCAGCGATACGCACGGCAGAAAGATTCAAGTTCGAAAAAGCATGGTGTGAAAGAAGCGTGTTGCGTTTTAACGTGGATAAATTGTCGTCTCGGCGTTTCGATATCGCCTATCGGCCATTCAGTTTTGTTTACCGCCTC